AGGGTGATCACCTGCCAATGAAACTTGCGCACATCTCATACATGAAAGGTCCCACTTATACCGCACATCTGGACTCCGGACTGTGTGTAGACGTGAACAGAGTTCGTGTGGCAGGAGACCCCGACTATCATTGATGCAGGCAGGATTCGCTACAACCAGCGAGAGACCTTACAACATAGTAGAACCATTTGTTTACAAAAAGAGGGTAACTCAGCCAAATGACCTACTGATCCATCTGGTTGAACTATTTAACCTGGTCATTAAGTTACAGTTTAGAGTCTTTAGACGTTAAAACCTTTTTTTAGTTGTTGTAGATAACAATAATCCTCCTCATCTTATTTCTATTTGTTTTGCTGATTGTTGGAGACGTGCTACCCCGTCTGGTGTAGCTCCTCTTGAAAAAAAAAATCAAAGACCTAAAACCTTCCAAGCACTTGAAAAGAAGCAAATTCTACAGTATCATGCATATAAAATAAGAGACCTAACCACCAGAGTCAGAGACCTAAAAGGCTAAAACCGTTGACCACTTCAAAATAAGAAAATTGTATCAACTGATCATATTCTATTTACCATCTAAAAATCCTATCGCTCAGTCTGAATTTGAACATAGAAATTTAGTTTTACTAATCAAAGAGAACATCTGATGGGTTTCATCTCCGATAAAGATGTAGATTAAGATTCATCCATGAAATGAAATTCTTAGATCTCGCCATCCCATAATTCCTCGACGGTTTTATAATGGCTCAGAGTCTCATGAACAAAGAAACTTCCTGTAATCAACCTTGCCTGCACAATTAGAAATCAATCGATAAGTACGAGAATATTGACTTGAAGCTCCTACAAACTTACAGAGAGATCATTGTAACACAAAATACAAAATAAATACTTCAGCAGTTGCAGCAGCACAACATGACACAAGTTTATTGCTGGCAAAATGAAAACGAATCTACTTACCTGCTCAAATTCAGAGAACTTGACAAATAAATCTTCTGGTATAGACCAGTCAAAAACATCCAAATTCTCCTTAATCCTCTTTTCATTGGTGCTTTTAGGAAGCACACTGTGACCCATTTGAAGTCCCCACCGAAGAGCCACCTGTGCAGGAGTCTTGCCAAGCTTCTCTGCTATCATGTTCAGAATAGGATGCTCAAGGACATCAGTCTTTACCCCCGCTGTGCCTCGAGAACCCAATGGTGAATACCCCTGAAAGAGAATTGATCAAACAATTAATAAACATAAAGAACGTCAACCACATATATTTTCCTTCCTACAAAATTTAAGTTACTTATATTTCCATACTCACAGATAGGTGAATTCCCTTGGATTTACAGAATGAATGTAGCTTGTTCTGTTGCCATATAGGATGGCATTCCACCTGATTGACAGAAGGAGGAATGCGTGCTATGTTCAACAAATCCCCCAACTTTTTTGAAGAGAAATTACTCACACCAATAGCACGAGCTTTTCTAGAATCATAGAGTGCTTCCATTGCTCTCCATGTGTTGGGAATGTCAGGTTCTATAACGTTCTCCACATTAAAGCCAATTGACCCCTTTTTCATGCGGACTGGCCAATGGATCTTCAAGAATTTAACGACCCTACTTAGTGAAAGCATAACAACAATAATACTAGATATATCATATATGTGACTTTGACAGCACTCAATAGTACAAGTTATCAGCAAGAAAGATGGCATCAATCATCAAGAATTTAGCCAATGAATCTGAAAATATGACAACTTTTAGGCAATACCAGATCTCAATGGAGACAGAAAAGAATGCACTGACTTGATTCAAAAGCAGGGCATATATTTACATTTATTCAAAAGGATCTCAGTGCCTAGAATTATTCATGAATTCTTTTAAAAGCAATACTAATTATCCAGTCCATCCCTCCCAAGACCATAGATAGCTGGGACCAACACTGGGTAAATAGCCTTTTTTATACAAGTGACTGAGTGAGAAACTCCCAAGTTGCAGATTTCCCAGCATTGTCAAAGTCATAAGCCAAGTCATAATGCATTTTTTGAAACTCCTTAGACACGGGACATAATGTCACAGAAACTTAAGAGTGAGATACCAACTGATGGTGGCTCGGTAGTTAAGTCCTCTGGCTGGTTGTAGTCAAGACTTGGGATCAAAGCCTGCTGCCACCAGGGTTGGAAGGTTATGGGATTTGGGGACAGGCTACCCCCATTGTGTTGGCCCATGAAGCAAAGGAAAAAAAAAAGGTGCCCACCATTATTTAATGTACTCATTAACAACAATTGTTTCATTTATGAACAACTATATATATGAAACAGTTCATAGTCATGGATTTTTGGGACCTCTCACACCTTTTCTTGACAAAAAAACAACATTCTGAGGGCCTACAACACTCTAAACTGGGTTACTAATGCGGAAAATATCTAAACCCTTGAATTTAGACACTTAAAATATATAGATAAAACATTCCTAGATGCTGGTGCAAATCAGCAAGTTACCATCTCCATTAGCCTTATGTTATTGGGCATCTTATAACAACTCTATCCAATACAAAGAAAGACACAAGGAACAATCAATTTTGAACACTTACACCTAACTTTTATAGTTGAAACAGTGCAGATGTGAAACACTACCATTTCCCTAAGATTTGTCCTAATTAAGGTCTTAGAGAAGCTTTATAGTACAAAGTCCAAAACATAAATTAAAAGGTCTTACAGCATAACACATGCACCATTTTAAACATTAAAATAACTCTGCATAAAAGAGTAAAGGAGCTTTTACATTTGAATAGGAACCACTTACAAGATACAAATCAACATAGTCAAGCTGCAAATCCTGCAAAGTTCTATCTAATGCTTTTAGGACATCTTCTGGTGCATGATCAGTACACCTGCAAATTAATCCATTTCAAATAGCAAAAGTAAAGAAATCTTATGTCTCGGTAAGTAAGTGATAAAATATTGAACAAGGTTGTAACATGAAAACAAACCAGAGTTTGGAGGTAATCCACAAATCTTCACGCTTCACTATACCATCTTTGAAAAGCTTCGTCAAGACCAAACCGATCTACAAAGGCCAGAAGGCAATAATTTTGTTATTTAGATTCTATTTGGATATTATTTACCAGATGATGCTAAATGAAATATTCTCGTGGTACTTATTTTCTTGATAGATAATATTCTCATGGTGGTTCAAGTGATCTTTTATATGAATTTCATTATCTATGAACCCTATGATATTTGTCTTCTTAAAAAGAAATTCTAATGATCACACTTCAAGTGCAAGTATCGTTCAAGATCATTAACCCCCACTTGATAATAAAGCAGTATGCACTGTAATTACCTCTTTCTCATTTCCATAAATCTGAGCACAATCAATATGTCCATAGCCAGCCTGCATTGGCAAAAATAAATAAATAAAATAAAGCAATTAAATATCCATCATTAATTATCGAGTATGAACCACATGAGTAAAAATTACTACCGGAAAACTTAAGCATGTAGTTTGAGTCTGCAGAGGCTAATCTATCTATCTACCTATATAAGAAAGACACTGAAAATAGAAGCCTCTACATCAATGAAATAGAACACTTGAAAAATGTAAGTGTTAGAGAAAAACCATGTCAGCAGAATCTGTTTGTTAAATTGACAAGGTTGCACATTTTAAGAATATAGTTTTCCTTTGAAACAATGTATTTCATGACTAATTTATATTCACAATGGTATATCCTGTAAGAAGCAATCATCATAATTTCATTTCATTTTTTTGATCAGCAATCTATCATAATTTTATCACCAACATGTGTTTATGCATCTATTAAAAAGAAATAAGAAAAAAAAAAGGAAAACAGAGCATCACATAAAGAGTAGGTGTTTGAATTTTGATGAGATCAAATATTTAGATTTTATGAGGGCATCTTTCTCAACTAGTACTTACAATTTGACTTGGGGTCAGGCTTGGGTTTGCAAGTCAGTCTTAGGCATGACTATTGGGTCACATACAAAACTTTTTCTTTTTTTTTTTTTTGAGGGGGGGGAGGGTAGAAGACAACTTTCATTGAAAGAATACAGAGGAGAGGGCAGCATCCAACCAAAGAACTTAAACCAAAAAAACCAAACACCACCAAAAAACTAAGGCTCAGTTTGGAAGCACTACAAATGCAAATATGTACAGCGTAAATACATACAAAATAATACAAAATATAAGGTTTTGCACTCTACATATTTGCATTTGTACTCCTTCTAAACTCAGCCTAGGTAAAAAGTAAAAACACAACAGCAAATCACGAACTGCAACACCATAGCAGTCAAAAATTAATCTGTCCAGAAGCCAACCGGGGCATGAATCAGTGAAGAATCCTTCTTGACCAAGCCTCTCTTGGCAGCTTGATAAGCAACCGAAGAAACCAAACCAGTGGAACAGTTACAACATACAACCAACTATATTGGGACATACTAAAAAACCCAAAACGACAAGCATTAAAAAAAATGCTTCGGGAGGGATAGGTCACGGATCGAAAAGAGTATAAAAATCAAAGACAAAAATAAAGCCAGGGAAACAGTTACAACAAGGAAATTCTGCGTTCTCTCTACGAAGAAAATCCAACCCCCTTACACAGAGTCAGGCATCAATGACAAAAGCGCGGCAGTAATTCTAAATGTAGAAAAGATAGCGATGAACCGAATTAGAAATACCTTGATAGCAGCAGCGACGGCATCTCCAACGAGTCCTGGCTCAGCCTGCCACGTTCCTAAGCCTAGCGAAGGGATTTTGGCTCCAGTATTCAACTCAAAGTATCGAATTTCAGTCACCATCCTCAATCACTTCAAATCAAACTTCCAAGAGAAGAACAAAAAACCAGAGACGAATCTTTGCTCCCCGACTTGTATGGGTTTCAGCCTTGCAGCAGGTAAATGTCAGCATGTGAAACGGGAAACCACCGTCTTAAACGTGAGTACAGACACAGAAAAATCAGCTACTCCCGACCGGGTAGTGCTCAGCTAAAACCGAGAATCACGGCCCTCGATGTATTAATGTGGATGTGATTTCACGGTTTTAGCGCAGCGCCACTTCAAGTGGAGTAGCTGATTTGAATTCGTAGAGTTCAATACGTGTTAGACTTGGGCCACTTGGCGAAGGAAGGAGAGTCGGCTGTCAAATATGGAAGAGCCTCACTGTGGTCACGACTCACGAGGAGCACGATATATTATCACCTGTAAGCGCATAGAGGATAACTGTTTTGTGAGGCATAATAAAGCGTTAATTTTAGATACTGAAACTCATGATCAACGTTAAAATGGAATGATTTGCTGTCATATGATAAGATAATTGTGAGGTGGATTACGAGGGCTTATATCCGTGGTGGAATCTGCTCTTCACAAATGGGCGCCTCACACACATCCACCGTGCATTGGGAATTACGTGTAAGGCGTCAGTGAGGCGCGAAGAGCAGATCCGGTTTCCTTATATCCTACCAAACTGACACATTTATTACTAGTTACGAGAAGTGAAGTGGAGATCCCGAGAAAGACTGGCGCGACGACTGTCGAGGGCGTTAATCTGATTCTATTTATTGCACTCCGGATCGGGAGCCGTTGGATTGGGATAATAAGAGTTAGGTCCTCTTTGACGAAGCCACGACATGGAGGTCTTTAAGTAGGTAGGTGTTTGGCATCGATGCCGTTGCTTCATAGCCATTTTACGAGAAAACGGTGCTGTATGATGGAATGTGGATCTGTTCTCACACCGACGTAAGAGCCCCATCTTAGAACGAGACCGGATCTGCTCCTCACGTTGGGCGCCTCATACGCATATTCTATCATGCATTGAGAATATTTCCCGTATTTGTAAGTTATTTTTTACGGAAGATGTTCCCAATGCACGGTGGATGTGAATGTGAGGTGCCCAAGTGTGAGGAGCAGAGCAGATCCTGTCTCTATATAATGAGGGTCTACTGTGAGTCCGGATCTACTCCTTTCAGAGCACACTTCACACCAACTTCACAAGCACATTCCACCATCTATCGAAAACATCTTCAGTACTTTTATGTTATTATTCATGGGAGATGTTTCCAATACATAGTAAGATGCACCTGTAAGGTGCACTATGTGAGGAGCAGATCCCAATTCGTTTGTGGTACCGTTTTCCGTTTTCTTAGAAAATGACTCTTTTGGTTGGCATCGATGTTGCGACATAGGATTTTTCTGGGGAAATAGCATTGGTTTGTTTGGTACCGATGCTATATAACCATTTTTAGCATTGGTCTACATTATCCAACGCTTCAGATGATGTGTCACAACAATGGGTTGGAACCTTAGTAGGTGTTTGGCATCGATGCCATTGCTTCAAAGATGTTTTATGAGAAAACGGTACTGCATGCATGAGGTCTGTTGTTTAGTACTAATGTTACTGGTTTTGTTTAGTACCAATGTTGTATAACTGTTTTCAGCATTGGTCTACATTGTCCAACGCCCAAGATGATACCACATCATTGCACTATTGGAAGCAATGGGCTGTTTTCTGAGAAAATATTGAATTTGACATTTCTTTATACCACACTTTTCTGATTTCCAAGGTGTGGTTTGGAGCAACCTTTCTTTAGGAAAATGTCAAATAAAAGATTGTTTTCAGAAGCACTGCTTTTTATGACGTGGCACCAATCTCAAAAAACAACATTAATGCCAACGGGCAGTTTATTTTCTCTTCTTTGCTTGGATTTCATGTACTTTTATTGTTTTTAAATTTTTATAATTTAACTTTTGTTTCAGATACTTTGGGATTTATCTCATGGGTGATTGTTGTTGTGAGTCCAACAAAAATTGGCACGAGTTTTAACAGATGCATATTGTAATTTTTATAACTCTGTTAAAATGATTGGTAAATTTTTATAGCTCTATTAGAATGATTGGTAAAAGCAATTTAGTGAGTTTAGTGAAGGGTAATGATTTTTTAGTGGTAATTAACAATTGAGTATGGTCATAAGTAAGGTATCTTGGTGCAACATATGTGAAACTTGGTAATGTATTAACAAATTTTGTTTGAAGGGAGTGCTGATGTAGATAACAAAGGATAGTGAAAGCATGCACCTTTTAAAATTCAAGGTGAGAGCCTCTTAGCGTCTATTTGGCATCTTTGCCGTTGCTTTAGAAAATAGTGCCATATCAGTATTATGTCGGAAAAAATAGTGTTCTATGAAACGGGCATTTGTTTGGAACCGTTTTTTATAAAAAAATGGTGCTCCAAGTCATGCCTTAGAAATCAGGAAGGCATGGTTTGGAGCAACTTCGAATTTGATGTTTCTTGAAGTTGCAGCTTATTGCTGCCAATATGGACGTGAGGTGGCAGTGACATGGCACTAGATAATAGATACCAGTATTGAAAACATTTCCTGGAGTATTGGTACCAAACAGAAAACGTTGTTATTGCTCCAAGAAACGTCCTACCTGGCAGTAATGTTTCCAAACAGAAAAAGGCACCGTTTTCGATGCTTCCAACCCACACATCAGAAAACAGTGCTGCCTTTGCAGCATCGATGCCAAACATATACTTAGTTTATTAATAAGACGCTTAAGGCTAGGCGTTTTGGCTTTGTCTCACCGTGAGACATGTCACATGTGCCTCAACACTTTTTAAATCACGATCTTGATGGTAGAGACCTAGAATGTAAATAGCCATTTTTTTCCTTCAAGGTTGTGTTTTGCTTGCAATGCAAATAAATTTGCATTAATGCGAAGCTGTGACAGTGCAAATGATTTGATTGTAAATTCTGACATATTTTTATTTTAGTTTATTTTGTTTGAGTGCATTACAAATGAAGTAAATTAAGACATGAAGCAGAATAAAGTAAAACCCAAAATAAAATTAAACAAGAATTTGCATTTTTTTTCATTTGTATTAGGGGTGAGCAAACGGTTTATTCGGTTTAGAACCGAATTTTCCAAAACCGAACTAGTAAAATTGAAAACCGAACCAAAACCAATGTGTGATTAAACCAAACAAACCGAACAATTTTTTTTCAATTAATTCGATTGTTTTGATAAAAAACGAAATGGCTAGTTTTACAAGCCAACATGCAGATCTTTGACTTTGAGTGGTTCTGGGGAAGGTTAAACTAAAAAGTAAAGATAATAAGGTTGTGTTTGGTTCCCATCTTTCTATTCCACTCTTATTTTCTATCAAGAAGATGCCAAATGATCAAGAAATCAAGAGACAAGTGAGAGCAATATTTAGTCATCTACTACAACTTTGCAACTGACTACAAACTATAGTCCATAGTCCATATCCAAATGGCTAAAAGAACCAGCGAGAGAATAATTGAAGAATAAAAAAGGGAAAAACAAAAAAAGAAAAAAGAAAAATTACCTATACCTTAAGCTGCAGTCTCGCCAATGCCGAAAGAGGTAGGTTCACAGTTGCATACTCGCATACGCTCATAGTTTATTAGGAGAATACCCAATTGACACAAGTTGCGATGAACTTTACTCTTGCGATGAGCCTTAGTTACAATGAAGTTTACTCTCGGGAATAAGTTTGTTACCAATCCGTTAATCGGTTATGGATCTATTTTGGTTGTTTTGTAAATTCCACGTCAACCTCTTTTAGCTTATTGTAATAAATGCCTATATATACTTGATTATTTTAATGAAAGAGAATACTTTTTCTTCGTCAATTCCATGCTTCTGAGTTTTACATGGTATCAGAGCTACAGGCCCTCTTGGAAAATTCCAATTGTTGATCACAATCCTCTTTTTCCCTTCTTGACTCCAATCTTCTTCTTCCTCTCGTTTTGCCCTTTTTCGCCATCAACAAGGATGGCCGCGAATAGAAGTGGAAACACTATGTTTACTATTGTTGATCAGATCTCCTCTTTTAGTGATCAGAATTCACCTTTCTACCTCCATCCTTCTGACAGCCCTAGCATAGTGCTTGTTTCTTGTCTCCTTAATGGAGACAATTATATGACTTGGCAAAGAGCAACTATTGCTCTTAGCGCCAAGAACAAGATTGGCTTTGTGAATGGAATGATTTAGAAGCTAGATCTGACGAATTAGACAAAATTCCTGGCTTGGTCGAAATGTAATTCTATGGTGGTCTCATGGATCTTCAATGCTTTAGCCAAAGATCTCCATGCAAGCGCAACCTATGCTGAAAACGCTCAAGAAATGTGGAAAGATTTGGAAGAAAGGTTCTCACAAGGAAATGCACCAAGGATCTTTTATCTCAAGAGACAACTCATGTTGCTCTGGCAAGAAACTGTCCTTGTCTCTGTTTACTTTTCAAAACTCAAAGGAATTTAGGATGAATTGTCAGCCTACATTGTTGGACCATTATGTACCTGCGGGTTGTGTACTTGTGGAGTCTAGAAAAATTTTGTTACAGAATGGGAAAGAGATAAGGTGTATCAATTTTTGCTAGGTCTGAATGAAAAAATTTAACAACATCAGATCTAGCATTTTGAGAATAGACCCTCTATCGAGCATTAGTAGAGTCTATGCACTTGTATCACAAGAAGAAAGACATCAGTCTTTAATTGCTCAACATGGTTCAACTACGGAGGCTGTTGCTTTTCATGTGGCATGTCCAAAATTCAATCCAAAAGGAGGAAAAGAAAAGTCCAAGATTTGCTATGATCATTGCAAGAAACAGGGTCACAACAAGGATCACTGTTTTGAATTGTTCGGGTATCCACTGAATTGGGAAACTCGATCGTCCACATCCAATAATAGCACTGACAATCAAGAAAAGGTTGCCTTTGCTATGCAAGTACATCTCTACGTGGGCGTGATAATTTTGGTGCTCGTGCCACCAAATGTGTATTTGTCTGGTATCCTGATGGTCAGAAAGGATACATATTATATGACTTGACAATCAAGCGGATGTTTGTGTCCAGAGATGTGATTTTCCTTGAACAAAATTTCCCTTTGCTGATGAAGACATGTCTTTGGACCCATCTCCACCATCAACCATACCTCTGTCGATAGTCGATGATATAGTGGTTGACACAGTTCCAAGTCAAACACCTAGAACTGAACCAGTTTGTGACAGCTCACAATCCTTTGTCAGTTCAGAATTGCTCGAACACACTAGTAACATGGACTTCATCACTTCACCAACTT